CACTCTTTCAGCTTCAGAGAACTGAACAGCTTCTTCAAGCGATTCTTCAGAGCGCTCTCTGAAATTCCCTTTATATCAACAGCTTGCCCATCATCTATCATTTGCAAGAGCTACACAAAGAGCAACAAATTTGAAAAGAAATAAAAAAACTTGGAAACATTGAATATCAAAGCTTAACACTGACCCAAAAAACCTCGAATTCAGAATCCCTGAATATGCGATTCGACAAGGACAACGTAATCTAAGGTTGCTACTCATTATGGCTACAAACTATCAAGACAACAAGATGATATTCAAAAGCAATATGGTTGGTTCAACGTGAAGTAACAGCACAATACCTGTCTCAGATCATTCCCAACATTAGGGAACTCTTTGAGCAACTCCTTCACCACAGCTTGAGGGTCGTCCCGCAAACTTTCCCGATCAGACCCGGAATCGGACTCGGAGCCGGAGCCGGACCTGGACTTGGACCCAGAATCGGAATCGGAATCATAGTCTCTCTTCTTCGACTTCCTCTTCTTCGACTTCCGTCTTTTTCTCTCCCTCAGTTTCCTCCTCTTCTCTTCCCTTTCTCTCTTCCTACGTTTCTCCCTCTTGTAATCTTCATCGCTCCTCCGCCGCTCCCTCCGCTTCCTCCTCGATTTCTTCGAATACGAATCGGACTCGTCAGAGCTGTAAGAGGAAGACGACGAAGCTGAAGATGGCGTCTCATCCTCCGAATCGGAACCTCTCTTCTTATGCTTCCCCATTTTGTTTCCGACACCAAACAACAGATTCCAAAACAGCCATAAACCCTAAAATATCTCCATCGATGGTGATTTGTGAATGTTCCTCTCCGTATGAGCGAAGACCACGAAACTGTGGGGAGGGCCGCCGTGATTCCGTGAAAAAAAAATATATCCGACCGACCGACACCTTTTGGGCCTAAGAGGCTGTTTCACTTATTGGGCCATAGGCCCATTAACGGCCCGTGAGAATCTGCACGCGATCCAGCAAAAATAAATATTGGCAGGCGTGCGGCGAAACAAATATTATATTAGCATGCGATTTTTGACAATTCACTGGCTATAAATAAAATCCGAATAATTCTAAACATTTCACGATAATCTCGGATTCGATCTCTCATCCCAAAATATACTTTCTGTCTAATGGCAGAAGCAACGCGGAACCGAATTATGAGGGAATTGAAGGCCTTGGAGAAGGACCCTCCTTCTAATTGCAGTGCCGGTTAGTACTTCACTTGTGTATCTCCGTTTCTCGAAACGTTACATCATCACCATCATCATGGTGTTTTATGTAGGTCTCAAAAGTGACGGAAACTTGTATGAATGGCGAGCAACGATCATGGGTCCTGCGGGCACTCCTTACGCAGGAGGCGTCTTCAAGGTGGACATCGCCTTGCCTCAAGATTACCCTTTCACAGCGCCCAAGGTATCATATTATATACGTTTCATGTAACGCAATGGTCGATTCCTTGTCACACATATATATATCCGTACAGGTTAGATTCGATACACCGGTCTACCACCCGAATATCAACGCAGAAGGATCCATTTGCCTTGATATCCTTAAGAAGGAATGGACTCCTGCTCTTACCATCCAAGTGGTACACATATACATATATATATATATGCAAAACATCATCAACATGTTTTTATTGATATCTAACCTACACGCTGTTAGGTTTTGCTATCGATATGTTCGTTGTTGGCCGACCCGAACCCGAACGATCCTCTCGTCCCCGACATTGCCAAACTGTTCAAGAGAGACAGACGCCAGTACAACAAAAACGCTCGAGAATTCACAAAATTACATGCCATGAAATGAAATTGATTTTACGACACATGTACCAATATTTACTATTTACACACTCCATGATTCTCTCCTTGGTTCTACGTTACTCTCATGTACTCTTTCATACATCTACGATATGAATAAAAGGTTACCTACGTAAATTTCTCATTTTACCACATCAAGAGAATCATATGGTTAAATAATACATAACGGGTCATATATATATGTAATGTGGGGAATATACCCATTCGAGCAGAATTCATGAAGAAGTGACCGGCGGATATCGATGCTCTGCTTCGAGAACAGAGAGTAAGCGAGGAACTAGAACCGAACCCAACACCGAGTGCACTGAGCCATACAATCTCCCTTGCAATCCACATTGTACCCCAACACTTTTGGGTTCCGTAGCAAAAGGCTTTTCAAAGACTTTCCCTTTATTCCCCAGTCCTTTTCCAGGATCTGCACATTGGGTTTCATCTCCTCCTCGAGGCTGCAACCGAGGACCTCCGGGAATTTCTTCAGCAGCTTTTTCAGATCGTCGTCCGTGAGGCCAAGGCTTCTCAGGAAATCCAGCGTTTGATTCAAAGTTTCCACCTTTGGAGTCTCTTTCTTACGTTCTTCGCTCCAGTAAGGCGAATGGACATGCCCGAATGCTTTTCCTAGCATCTTGTTTGTCTCGTCTGCGCTGAAACTGAAACAAGACAGGGCTTCTCTGCATTCTTCCCACGTCTTTGGATCTTCGTTATCTGTTTCTACTTGAGCTGTTGAACATATTACCCATTTGTTTCGGGAACTGGTCACACCGGGGAAAAGACCATGGTAAGAACTTGGGTTCGATGGTATAACATTAGTGGGTACCGTGAGACCGGCCTACAAAAACAACGTTCACTGCATAATTTTCAGACAGACCAACAGAAGCCAATACAGCCAAGCCAAATTCAACGGCCGATGACTCAATTACCCACAAGAACAATGGAACACATAATGAGATCAAGATGTAAAGGATGGACCAGTAACAAAATCCTTGAATATCAAATATGGTTTTGCTAAATGATATGATACATACCGCAGAAATGCAAAGGCATGCGGCAGAATCCAATGTTGACAGAGGAGAAGCTAATGCTTTCCCCAGCATCCCTGCACCAAGAAGAAGATTACGGACTGTAACATACAAGAATTGAAATAAAAACACGAGCTTGCAGACCATAATGGAACTATCATCTTCTCTACCCAGGCGTCATTACGCAGACACTATCTTTTGTCTGAATCCAACAGATGGGTGGTCAAATCAGACATCCCTTTTCCCTTGTGTTGGCAAAATCCCAAATCGATTCCAGAATCTAACTCCCGACAGAAAATACAGATCCCATATAGAGAGATGCGATTCCGAATATGACCAAGAAACCCATGATGAAAAACAGACGATTCGCGATACTCCTAGCTAGATGCGCGGTTGCAGAAGGTACCTGAAAAATTGGGGATTTTATGACTCGGCAACCTATGAACTCGACTCACTGAGCCAGACGAGCTGTTGCGGAGGCGAGTGGGTTGTGTCTGCGACCTCGAACCCAAGTAGTGTACGATAGGAACCGACCATGGATACTGCGACTGCGAGGGGTCAGGCAAAAATGGCGTCGCTTTCAGAAACTGCGTCTTTACGTTGTACCCAATGGACACCACAGACAAAATTATATTAAATTAAAATATACACAAACTATTGAAACTAAACTGTTCTACTTCTATCAATTTTATTTGAACGAAAAGTGATTATATATTTACCAGTTTTAAATATAAAAATGAATTAAATTAAGTTGAATAATATCTGATCTTAGACTCAAATTTGATCTTGATTGGATATAATTTTATTCCAATTAAATTAATCGAATTATAGAATAAAAATTTAAAATTTTAATTATTTATAGGTATTTAAATCCAATTCTGTCACAACGTAGTTAATCTATGTAGACCTCCATCTTCACGTCTCCAATGTAAAATTCGCGTCTAAACGCCGCCATGAAACTATTTACTCACCGCAACCGCTAATCGCAAACGCTAAACTCGAAACCCGAATCGCCCCATTTTTTTTTTCTACAATGAAGTAGATAACAAACAGTATTTCGTGAACAATTACATACCTGAAGAACAAAACTCTCTCTAGAACAAAAAGACACAACACAGCAAGGACAAGAATCTTCAATCTTCAAACCGTAAGAAATGGCTTCAATGGCTTCAGCTCCAAAAACAAAACTCCCTCACTCTCTGTTCCCTTAACTCGACCTATGGAGCCATGGTGCGGTGTGGCTCGGGCCGCTATGGTTCCCCCTCCCCCAGGTGCCATTAGCCGTTGAGATGTAATATCCCTCTCGTTTCATTAACACAATCTATCACGAGGAGGAACGTGAAGCCTCTTGATGCCGGAGAGGCACTGCTTCGGGGTCGAACCCATCCTCTTCTCCGTGCTTAGAGTGGCGCAATGGCCGTGGTGACTTTGCCGACTCTTGGCGTCTCGAAGGAATTCCTTCTTGCTTGAACCCCTTGCCATCTTCAATGTGCTTCGGAAGACACAAAAGCAGAGATCCCGACGATGAACCTGGATTAGATGCTGTCCAGGATTAGGGTTTAGGGCTCGATAACCGGAAACAAGGGCACGTCCCGTAAAACTGAGAAAAACCAAATGCTAAAAGCGGAAATATCGCCATTCATACAAAAACGCGGAAACTCACCGTCCACCATGTCTTTAGTTTTGTGAAGAAGGAATGTTCCCGAGAGGATCGTAATGAACCCACAAATCTCGGTGACAATCTGAGTTCCAGTTTGCCGATCCCAGTCCTATCCCCGAGCATTTCACCATAGTAACTAACTACAAACAGAGCGGAATTCGAGAAAGAAACCTCTGTTTATGGACAAGAACCGAGAGAATACCTTAAACATGATGACGCTGGCCAAGATCGTCAATGAAGTGAACATAACGTAGTATATGGGTGAAACAACTGCTGTATTGAACGTGTCAAGAGCCTGCCTTGTCCGTAAAACAATGACAAAAAACCCGAGTAAATTTTCCCAACAAGTCATCCGAGTTATCGGGACAGAATCACGAACAGGGGTTCAACCCTCTACCTTGTTTAGATAGTTCATCTGAGTTATCACGCACGTAAGAACGATCAGCGTGAAAACCCATGTCTGAGGGTAAACTAATTGATTCATTCCCGAAAACGTCAGCTTCAAAGCTATCCCGAGAGCCTTAACGCTCATCACCTGTTCATCACCCCTGATATTGTCATTCCCCCACAGGTAAAAACAGAATCAAAGTCTGAGATTGTAAGGTTTTTGTGATCAGTGCGAAGGAATAATACCGATAATGATCCCACGAGAGAACAAACTCCAATATAGACCATAACGTGTGTCTGGCCGTACTGCGGTACAAACTGAACTATAAGCACAAAGGCTAACCCTACCACCGAAGCTGCGTAGAAAACAAAAGCTGCAGAAAGAAACAGTGGAAACCGCCTCCGTGTTTCAGAACGGATCTACCGCTCGGTAAAAAATTTCATATCTTAACAAGATTATGTTGAAAGGAGATAGTTACAGACCTGGCTCTGTTGCAAGATTCCATACTTCTATCACGGAATCGATCTCGCGTTCTTGAGGAGCATGTAGCACGATTGTTATCGAACCAACGACACATAAAACACACCCAAGAATCCCAAAAGTGTGCAGTTTTTCCCGTAGGATGATATGTGCAAGAGCCGCACTGTAAAAAACAAACAAACGAGTTCTATTTCTTAGTACATTACTTGTGACAGGCTGATGATTGGACTGTGATAATCATGATCGGGATTTGAACAAAATAAAGGCCAATAAAGCGAAAAAATGCACAGACAAAAGGGTGGTATACTATTCAAGAGCTCGGCACTGAATCTCTTCACTCCATATTTTCAGACATGGGAATAGTAATGCTCGAACTTATGACACCGTAAAACATTAGAGTATATAAAACAATAGCAAAGGCCTTCAATCCGATCATTCAAACCTGATAATAATGCTAAGTGCCCCGAGAGGCGTGACCAAAATGGCGGGTGCAAAGGCATATGCGGCAAAATTAGCGATTTCTCCAACAATCACTGCAAAGCAACGAAAGAGAAAAAGATCATCTCCATTCAAACTAACTAGCTATGCATTTCCAGCAAATAATCCATTCCTTGGTATGAAAAATCTAAAGGGAAACCTTTACGAATCAAGAAAACTCACTCGTTATCATGCCTATCCACCAGAGAGGTTCCACCAGGTAAGAATAGCCTCCCGAACCTACAAGTTGTCATAACCGAAATCAGCATCAAGGAAAGAACAATGCTTTATACACATGATCTATCATCATTGCAAAGATGGCTCGAGCCATTGATCAGAACTGAATAGAATTGCATCAGCTGAAGTTTTAATACGATTTGTCACAGACAAAATCATATTTTTTAGTTTGGTTATTGATCATGAGATTCAGAAAAAAAACCATAAAGATAAGATCCACAAGTGTTTCTCAGAGATCGCTGCATCCAGATCTGCCACGAAGTATTTTGGAGACAGAACACAATCCTAGAACTTCATTGAAGAAGTTTCTGTAAGTTTGGGCGAAACACCGACAGACAAAAATCTCAAATCTGTGCCTATGCCATTTCACAACACCCGATAACATGAATCTCCATCTCAGTCATTCCATTGTTCGGTCGAGACACAAATCTCCACTGAAGCAGACACAGATCCCAGATTGATCCACAGAAGTTCTATGAAGCTTGGACAGTGAACAAAAACCCCAAATAATTACATCCAAGAAAAACATCATTTACCTGTTTCAGAAACCCCAAAACCCAAAATTGCAGAATTCATTAATCAAACCTGAAATAGCTTAAGAAGTAAGAATTACCTGCTCTGAGACCAGAAGCTCCAGCTTTCTTCAAGCCTTTCTTCTTCACGATGAAGCTGGCACCGATGAACAAGCTCGAAGAAAGAGCTAACACTAACCCTTTTATATTATCCGACGACATTCCCTTGTACGCATCTCTCCAACTCCCACCCGAACCCGGCATTCTTCTCCTCCTCCTACACGA